TTTCCAGACGTACCGACAATTTCTCTCCTTTGTCTAAATACGTTTATTCCACGTTTTAGGCTATTGGCCCAAATCACATCCCATTAAATACTAATTTATTAGATTAAGTTTCCATAATGGAAAAGTACAGGTTTTGCACTTATCTTTCAGTCATCATGGGTCGAACAATGCATATTTCCAGGATTAGTACTTTCTTTTGATGGGCAAAATTTGGGATGTCTCTCCTTTGAAGCATTTCAAGGAAGACAAGATCAGAAGGTAGGGAGAAGCAGTACTAAGCAATGTACTTCTCTCTATTTCTACCGCCCACGCAAAGTTGTATCATGCATATTGCTTAACGACCGTCCGTCAAGTCACAAAAGGTCACCAGAGACACCGTATAATATATTCACAGTTGTTTTAAAGGCGTTTTCTCGCCAGAACTCATCTTTGAAACGGATCTTGAATCATGTCGTTCAAAGGTTACGTATAATAAAACAAACAGAAACGATTAAACCCAAATCTCATTTACCGTTACTCATAAACTGCACTTTATAACACATTACTGCAAAACAGAATAGAAATATCATCATTGTCCTGCATCGACATCCACGGGGCTTGTTTAAACTCGCTGACCTTCCAGGCTGGGCAACCTTAAGCAAACAAGAGTTCCAGTTTAATTAAACCCCTCGGCCAATTTTAAAAAACGCATCGCTTAATTACGAAGCTCAGCTCTAATAATTATTGTCTCGTCCTAAGTATTTCCAGCGAAATGCACAAGGAAAGGAATGCCCTCATATCTTAATCATAGAAGCAGGGACGCCAATTTCTCCATTGTTTCTCTCTGTGAAGATATTTTTAATTTCGAAACTTTTTTTTTTTGGTTTATAAGCATCAAGAAATATGGCTCGATTTTCATTATGTCTTGGTGGTTTTTTCTTTGCCGTTTGAAAGGTTTAAGGCGACCCTTTCGAAGAACACGACGGGGTCATAACATTGATTAAGAAGGGCGTAAAAATATGTTGAAGGCGCCGGATACTGCTGTTTTTTTTGTGTGTGTGGTTTGGAGAGGGGGGGGGGA